TCACTTCCTGCTTTCCCTGCCCATCATTAGCTAGCCTGATTTCCTCCCAACTCACCTCTCATTCCCAGTGATGAGCATAGAGAAATGGGGTATCAAGAAACTCAATTTAGGCTTTTAGAAAAGTGAATTCTAGGTGTTATGTAGCACCTCTGGAAAGAGACTCTCCCCCTCACCAAGGTGGTGTTGTCCAAGGGCACAATGGGCCCATCGCTGCAGTCAGTTTACCATCCCGGGAGCATAGACAAGAATTCCCAGGAACCACCCTGTGGAACCCAGGAACGAAATAAGATCGCTAGAGATAAAGGGAAGAGATGGCATGCAATTGGATCCTTGGTGATCTTATTTGAGGCCCAGAATGAAGTCTTTCCAGGAGCCAGACCTATGGATTTCTTGGCTGAATACATACAGTTAACGTACAGGCCAATAAATTCCATGTAACTGCATAATCCATTTATTTAAGTTAGCTTCTCTATCACCTACAACCAAAAAAAGTCCTCACTGATAAAACTGCCAACTCCCTCATGCAATTTGCTTTGCTGCTGTTGTTGTTTGCTTGTTTTTCATTTGTTGTAGAGTTAAAGTTAACCATACTCTATAGCACAGAATTATCATCAGTATCTGCAAGATCCTTCTATTGAATTATTTCTTAATTAGCACACATTAATTATGAGCTTATGTTCCAGGCACTGTTCTAAATAACTTACTTATATTAACCCATTTAATCTGCACAATAATGCTTTGGAATCAGTACTATTATTTTCCCCATTTTGCAAACAAGGGAACTGAGACATAAAAAAATAAAAATAAAAACTTTTATTTCCATGCCAAAGAGCTTAAGTAACTTGCCCAAGGTTACACAATAAGCAGTAAAGCCAATATTTACTCCCAAGGCACATTTGAACCGACTTCTGGCTCCTAAGCTAACGTTCTCAATCACTGTGTACACCAGAAACCCTGCTACTGACATAATAACGTGTAGCATTGTCCAGTTGTCTAATTTTTGCCACCATGATGAATGTAAAGTAATATTTGCCACTTATAAACTGTATAATCTTAGACACATTACTAAAATCTCAGTTTCTTTAACTGGAAAATAAAAATGATAAAATAATACCTATTTCACAGGGTTTTTGTGTAATTTAAGTAATACCAGTGACTGAGCATCTTTACTTGTTGGCCATCTGGGGAACATTTTTCTATTGGGCTTTCTGTCTGTCTTTTTCTTACTGATTTGCAAGAATCACATATATGTATATCATACTTATGAGTTTCTTATTAGTTTTAAATGTTGATTCTCTCCTCCCAATCTATCATTTTTTTAAACTATGGTGCCCTTGTTTGAGCATGTATCTTTAATTGTAATGTGGTCAAATCCATCAATTGTGTCCCCTAGATGTAGAGAGAATAAAAATAATAAAAACATTGTTTATACCCTAAGCAACTTAAAAATTTAGCTGGAGAATGAAGAACAACTACTATGTGAACAGTTTTAAAGTTGGTACCAGAATGGTATGCAATAAATGCCAAGTTGTAAGGCCATATAACCAACTGTTAACCTTGGAAAAGTACCCACATTTTTCTGAGGTTCTGTTTCCTTATTTTGAAAATGGAAACAATAAAAAATACCTTTCATTTTACTGTGATAAATAAATAAATAAGACAGTTTGATTAGCTATGTAGTACTTGGCACATGGTACCTGCTGTAATTCATTTGCAATGCAGATCAATGAAAATAATAATGGCTTCCATGTATGGATGTCTACCACCCACCAGATAGTTTCTATAATGTACCATACTTAAATTTCACAGCCCACTGCAAGGAATTATCTCTGCTAATTGTCAGATGCAGAAACCCATTTTCAGAGAGTTGAAATAATTTTACGAACTCTCAAATCATTAAAAGTGATAAAATTAAAAGCCAGATTTGTTTGGCTTCAAACCTCATCTGCTTTTTAAAAAATATGCATTTTTATTACTTTCAGAGAGGAAGAGAGAGAGATAGAAATATCAATGATGAGAGAGAATCATTGATGGGTTGACTCCTGCACACCCCACACTGGAAATCGAGCCTGCAATTCTGGCATGTGCCCTGATCGGAATCCAACAGTGACCTCCTGGTTCATAGGTTGACGTTCAACTACTGAGCTACGCAGGTCCTCCTGTGCTTTTTACTATGTCAAGTTATTGTCAGAAAAGGTGCTAGAGAAGCAATAAAACTTTACTTGAGTCCTGAAAAAAAACAAACAAACAAAAAAAGAGGCAGAATTGGAATAGACAGAAAGAGGAAGAGAGAAAAGATCATGCCAGATTCCAGGGGTGGGGTGGGGGGGTTACAGTGCATGTGTAAGGATGTAAATTATTAGAGGGCCGAAGCAAATCCTGTGCATAGAGGTGAGGAACAGTTATTCCCACTTATTTTTTTTTTTAAATATAAAGTATGGGCTTGCTCTAGCAGAGCGGGCATTGTATCCTTTGTCTTGACTCTTTAAAAATATATATTTTATTGATTTTTTACAGAGAGGAAGGGAGAAGGAGAGAAAGTTAGAAACATCAATGAGAGAGAAACATCGATCGACTGCCTCCTGCACACCCCCTGCTGGGGATGTGCCCGCAACCAAGATACATGCCCTTGATCAGAATCGAACCTGGGACCTTTGAGTCCACATATCGATGGTCTCCCTATCCACTGAGCCAAACCGGTTAGGGTCCAGTTCTTTTATTTCCATATCAGCGAAGCAGGAGCGAGTTATCTGACTGGTGTGTTGGAAATCTATGTCACTCTGACCCCTGAGGTTTGGGGAGCGAGCCTGCCCTAGGAAGCTTGTATTTTCTGCCTTTCCAGAAACCGTGAAACTGCAATTTTACAGTCAGATTTTTACAAAATGGGCACTTCTGCACCGCCAACCCTCTCTCTCTCAGCGCTGGGTGGCTCCAGCTCCCCAATTTTACACATGCAGATTCTCCAACATTGCCTGCGACATCCAGGTACTAAGGGAGTCATTCGACGTGTTTTATTTTATTCAATTCTGGGGTGAAGGATGAGCAGGTCAATTGTCCGTGCAAATCTAAAGCCACGGTCACCATTCCAGCTTTTACCAGCGGCAAAGCTGACGTTTTCCTCTCCAGCCATCTAGCTCTGGTGGCTATTTCAATGGCTTGTGAACACGTATGGGGAATATGGCTGTTATTTGAAGCCCCTAAAACCACAACATGAGGCACTCAGCAAACCCTGGTAGTAGATCGAACATGACAGGACTGGAGGACAATGAGAAGACTGACCTGATGTGAGCATGGTGAATAGGTGAAGTAGCTGAAGGAAGGTTTGATGGTGGGCCCAGTAACAGAAGACTGAACAAGTAAGGGAGAACGTTAGGAATTGATTGGGAAGAAGAATGCTGACCGTTTCCCAGCGGGCAAATGCATGAGAAAGTGCTCAAATCAGGTAGTGAGATTGTGGCATTGAGTTTCAGTGGAGACCGGGAGGTGGAAGGCAGGCAACCAAGAGGTGGTTTCCAGAACACCGCCCAGAGGGAGAGCAGATGAAGGTCTGGCCGAGGGAAATGGAAATTCGAAAGCTGGTGAAGAGATAGATGCACAGGAAAGGTCAAAGGGGAAGTTGCCAGGATATGGTGACTACCCAGGTCTGGGAAGCGGAGAGCCTTTTCGTGGCTCTACTCCGAAAGAGGCAGCGGAGCAGGCTTCGGAGCTGGTGGGACGTGGGGCTCACTCAGCCTTGGGCAGGTCAAGTCCAAGGTGCCCAGGGGCTTTGCTCTCTCAGAAACCCAGCCGCAGCTGGGAGCCGGGGGAGTCCATACAAAGAGGCAGCACCATGGGAAGGCCGCTGGAAGGAAGCTGGGGGAGATGGAAAGCATGAATGTGGAGGGTCCCTGGGAGGACAGAGTCAGGAACACGGGCACATGGGGCGGGTGGGCAGAAGAGAGGGGGGAGGAGGGGGGGGTACAGTTCCCGGATTGAAGGAAAGGACGGACGGGGTGAGGCTGGTAGCAGACGCTGGAGTTAGGATCTTTCCAGCAGAGCAGGGCTGCGGCCACTTTTCCCTTAGGAAACCCACAGCTGAACCCAAAGCAACTCTCCCACTCGGGCGATCTTCCGGGCCCTGCGCCCACTTCCTGGGGCCCTGGCTGCAGCGACCCTGGGCTGTGGATGTCCCCGGGCACCTTCAGCGCTCTCTCTCTCTCTCTCTCTCTCTCTCTCTCTCTCTCTCTCTCTCTCTCTCTCTCTCTCTCTCTCTCTTCTCTCTCTCTCTTCTCTCTCTCTCTCTCTCTCTCTCTCTCTCTCTCTCTCTCTCTCTCTCTCTCTCTCTCTCTCTCTCTTCTCTTCTCTCTTCTCTCTCTTCTCTCTCTCTCTCTCTCTCTCTCTCTCTCTCTCTCTCTCTCTCTCTCCCCCCCCCCCCCCACCGTGGGGGGCGGCGGCGGCTCCCTGGGCTTCAGGGCGCCTTTTCCTTCAGGTTCCCATCCCACCCCGGCGGGCCCCCACCCCCAGCAGCACCGCCCACTGCGCACCACTGCGCCCGGAGCCCGCAGCCCGCGGAGCTGCAGCTCGCCAGGCCCCTCCCGGGGGTGGGGTTTCGCCCTTCTCCCCCCCCCCCCCCCCTTACACACACACACACACACACACACACACACACACACACACACACCCTCCACTTTGTTGCAGTGTCCCCTGGGACACCCCCTCCCCGCCTCCGCCTCCAGGTCCCGGGGGTTCCAGGGGGGTTGGGGGGGGGGGGTGAGGTCCAGGCGGCGCCAGGACGCACGAGGGGCGCGGGGAGGGGTGCGCGGAGCCGGAGCCGCGGGGGCCGCGCCGCAGAAGGGGAGGAGAATGGGGAGGAGCTGGGGGGCAGGCGGCGGGGAAGGAGGGGTCTTAAGGGGCGGCGAGCCCAGGTCGGATTTCCTTCTGGGCTGGCCATCGGCACAGCTCCCACCCCGAGCGAGCCCGCCGCCGCCCTGCCCCGCGCCTCCGGACCCCGGGACGGGACCATGGTGAGAGCCGGGGGCCGCCGGGGGTGGCCGGGCGGAGGGGGCGAGCCTGCGGGACCCCGGGAAGTTTCGGGGTCGGGCGGGCCCCGTGCCTTCAGTCTCGCCCCGTCTCTCCGCAGATGTGGACTCGCTGGCTCGCGCTGGCGCTGGTGGCGGTGTCCTGGGCGCGCGCCGAGGTAGGTGAGCGGCGCGGGGTCCCCGCGGGGCCGGGTCTGCGCCCCGGGATGCTGCCCCCGAGGGGCTGGGAGGGAGGCTCCGATCGCGGGGAGAGGGGCGCTCTGCTCAGGAATGCTGCTGCTGCTGCGAAACTTCAACCCCAGAAGCACGAAGAGAAGTTTGGGCCGGCGGCGGGAGCCCGGCGAGGCGGATGTGGAGGGAGAGGAGTGGGGAGGGGGAGAGGGGACGGGATGGGGGGCGGCGGCCGGAGCAGCAGCCGAGTTCAAAAAGGCGCCTCGAGTTCTTGCCTTCACTTAAGAGGGATTTGAGAAGACTTGGGGGTCCGACCTTTCTAGTCTGTCTCCTGTGGGGATCGGGGGGTGGAAGGGGTGGAAGGGAGGGGGGAGATAACAGAAATCCCACAAAATCCCAAGAGATTCTTCTTTTGGGACGGAATAATCCCCCCCCCCTTTTATAAAGTAAGTTTATAATTCTCTGATTCCCCCCCCCCCTTCCTTTGTAAAACGCCCTCGGATTTTGTGTTATTGTCAGGCCAGGACCATATAACGGCCTTTTTAATATCTCAAGTTTTCCCTTAAACTAGCGTTGCGCAAGGGTGACCCATCCGTTGCTCAGCTCTCTTGGAGAGCTCGGTTTTTCCAAAGTATTTCAGCACTTTTTTGGTAATGTGTGTGTGTGTGTGTGTGTGTGTGTGCTTCCCCCCCCCCCCCCCCAACTCCAATGACCTTCCCAAGACACTACAAACAGACCAACAAACCCTTCACTCACCAGCCCTTCCATTAACTCGAAGGTTTATGGACAGAAAATAAACAATTCTAAATTCCCTGGGCTCTCGTCTCCCGAAAAGTGAGGTCAGAAACCAAACATTTGATAATTATGGCAGGAAATGTGGAAGGAATTAAAAAGCATGAGGGAGAAGAAATGGAATGTACATTTCAAAAGGAATAGCTCCCTGGTGGGTGGTTATTCTCCCTCTTCGAGTTTTTTTTTTCCTTCATATTACAGTTTAGCCCCACCCTTCACACCACCACTGGACTTGGCCCAGAAAAAAACCATAAAAGCATGCAAGGTCTTTACCATTAAAACACACACACACACACACACACGCATTATATTGAACTCTCATGTAAGTCGCTACTACAGTCTCGGTTGAGCTAGAAGCAGGCTATTTTAACAAAGAATTAAAAAATAGCCAGTGCTTATTGGCTATCTACTCTGTGTTGTCATAAAACTCCATTTTAATGATGAGGAAACTGAGTCCTAGAGGTTATGTATCCGGTGCTCTAAGATGGTAGGGGTAGGATTTGTACCTAAACAGTCTAGCATCACACCCCATGCTCTTAACCACGACCCTGCTGTGTGCTTGTACAGCAGACGCTGGGCTGCGTGCGTCCTTTCTTTTAAAACTTTTCCAACCTTGTAAGGGCTGTTTTGTTACCCCGTTTTACAGAGGGAGAAACAGATTGGGGAGATCAGGGAACTCACCCAAGGTCACACAGCTCTGCACACAGCTCTTTCCACCTTTGGAATCCATCCTGAACACATCAGCTTCTGTTGTCTTGCTTTCCAGAGTTTGAATCTGAGGGAAGATCCCTCTTCCCTGGCTGACTTCTCGGCCTGGCTTGGCTGAGGAACACCCTTGCTGGGCCCTCAAAAGGCAGCCGCAACCCTCTGATGGATGAGGTGGACCCCTGGTTGGTTTTACGGCAGGCTGAGGAATTGCCAGCCAGTGTGTGAAATCGCTCTGTGAACTGGAATGTTAGTATGAGGTGTGAGGAGACTGTGGGTTCTCTTTCCACAAGGCTGTGTGGCCCAGGGTCCAGGGTCTATTATAGGCAGCCTGTGTTACACCCCCTCCCCCCAGAACATTGCTGGGAAAAGCTTAGTTCTCAGAGGAAGTTCCCCCAGCAGCAATTTCCTGCTTCAGGTAGGAGAGCCGAGAGCACTCTCACAGAATTCCCAGAGAAAATCCACGGGGAATAAGGTAAAATCAAGAAGTGCTGAGATATGAAAACGGAGGAAGTTGATGTACAAAGGAGGCTGTGAACTCAGGGTATGTGAGGAATGAGGAGTAGGTTTGATCTAGGATTATCTTTCAACCAATCCAATCTCTTTTTTATATATATTTATTTTTATTGATTTCAGAGAGGGAGAGAGAGATAGAAACATCATTGATGAGAGAGGGTCATTGATTGGCTGCCCCCTGCAAAGCCCATACTGGGAATCAAGCCCATAACCCGGGCATGTGCTCTTGATCGAAATTGAACCTAGGACCCTTCAGTTTGAAGGCCAATGCTCTATCCACTGAGCCAAACTGGCTTGGGCCCAATCTAATCTCTTGGTGTCTGGCCTTAGTAACATTCAGCAATTTTAAAATCCATGTTTTATTAATATACTTTAATTATTAATACAAAAGTAAATTAACTCTAGCAATTTGGATGTTATTTTAAGCATTTTATCATGCAGTTAACAGTGCTTGCAGTGGAAATTTTTTTCTTTGTTAGCTATAACAACATAAACAAAGCTAAGTGATGATGTTTGCAGTCTTCATTGACATGACTCCACTTTAGTAGACATTATGTTTCAAATTGTACAAATATTAAAACTTTTAAATATTTTTAAAACTGAAATTTAGCAGAAACCAGTTTGGCTCAGTGGATAGAGCGTCAGCCTACAGACTGAAAGGTCCCAGGTTTGATTCCGGTCAAGGGCATGTATCTTGGTTGCGGGCACATCCTCAGTAGGGAGTGTGCAGGAGGCAGCTGATCGATGTTTCTCTCTCGTCGATGTTTCTGATTCTCTATCTCTCTCCCTTCCTCTCTGTAAAAAATCAATAAAATACATATTTTTAGAAAAACTGAAATTTAGAAAGTAAGCTCAACTTTTCTTGGTGCCTTTTGATTGAATACAAGTACAAGGACTCAATTCAACATAATTTTTAAAAATGTGATTGTCATGCTCTGGCTCAGTTGGTTGGAGCATTGTCCTGTACATCAAAAGGTTGTGGGTTTGATCCTTGGTTGGGGCACATATCTAGGTTGAGGGTTCAATTCCAGTTTGGGGTGCATATGGGAGGCACTGATCAATGTTTCTTACATCAATGCTTCTCTCTCTCAAAATCAATAAAAACATACCCTGGAGTAGAATGAATGAATGAATAAATAAATAAATAACCATGATTGCTTGACAAATTACATTGCTATTTGAAGAAGTCAAGCCTTTGGAATAGTAAGAGGTGTTCCAAACTTGGAGAAAGGTGGTTGTTATCAATCTTAATGCCAGGCTATAAATCCAGTTTAGTTAGATTCAAGAATCTATTAGCAAATCTCATTAAGGAAATTGATCCTTGCTTGGCACCTCAGGGTTGCTTGTTTGATTGCTTCCTCTTTCTTGCATTATCTTTGTCTTCATTGGGTACCACTAATGTGTTCCTTCTGGCAGCCTCCATCAACATTCTGCCCCAACCTCCTGAGCTTCCACCCAGGCCCTCTTGAGAGTCTGTGCTGGAAAGGGCTGTTGGGCTGGGGCAGACATGCATTAGCATCACATACGGATGAAGAATGGGGGTGGCAACAGCAGAGGGAGTGCTTCCACCATCAATTGCACAGCTACCCCTCTTCTACGTTCTGTTTGGAGGGGGCTGTGTGGGCCTGCTCCCTCTCCCTTATCTTCCTCCCACTGAGAATGACTGAAGTTGACTGAGAGGATGGGTCTCAGTTTTATTGGCTGATGTGGGAACTCCTTCATATTCTTTAGGATTGTTCTAATGGTCGATTCAGGCAGGCTTAGAATCTAACCCACATCCTCTGATATTTTGGAGCTGTAGCAAAACTAGGATTTTAATATCCATCTTGAACATTAACCACTAAAACAATCTCTTGTTTGTTTATCCTTTGGCAAATAAACTACTTGCAGTGATTTCAAAGACCATTGTTGGAAATTGGGATGTTAAAACATAGCAGGGACTCTGCCACAACAGATGGGCAAGTGCCCTGCACATTGAAGTCCTGGCCATTGAAAATGTCTTTAGAAAGGCACCGTGCTACAGTTCCCATAGAAGTCTCTGGATTGGGTGCTGGACAGCTGGATTCGGGTCCCAGGCTTAGAGGAATGAGTTGGGAGGAGCTCTGAGGTGAAGATTGGGAGGCATGGGCTGCAGTGGGTGTAATGTCTTGAAGAAGGAAGTAAAGTCAGTGAGGCAGAGAGATGTGTGTTTCCAGGAGAAGGGAGAAAGTAAAGGATGAGCAGTAAAATACCAGGGGTCACACATGGAGAAGTGGAAATGTCACCATGGCTTTTTCCCAGCCCTCTTCAAATAATTGGACATTTGGACATAACATTTCTAGCAGCCACAAAAAGTGTTAGCTTAACGACACCAGATATTACAGGAGTGAAAAAATACTTACTACACTTAGTTAGGTTCATTTTGTAAGTCAGGTGATTAATGTCCTGCAGGTCAAATGTATACTTTTCTCTAAAGTGCTGTATCCTGACATCTGTGACTGATGCTGGGTCCTTTCTCTGGGGGTGAGTCATTAACAGTATGGGCCTCCCTTCACTCGCCATCAATCAGTCACTATTCCCTCTGCAGGCAGAGCAAACCGTACACACAGCGTCCTGGATGAAGTGGAAGACTTGGTCTCTGCTCTCAGGTTGCTTACAACCTAATGATAGGCCAAGTGCTTTAAAGTGATATAGAGATACAACATATCTCTATATAAAACCCTAATATACAAATAGACCGAACAGTGGAACAACCGGTCACTATGATGTGCACTGACCACCAGGGGGTGCACGAGGAACATGAGGGGTGTCAGCAGCAGGTGGCAGAGCGTGGAACATGGCATGCGTCAGCCGAGGTGGATGGTAGAGCAGGTGAACGGGGGCACCGGACCAAGGTGGGGCGCTGGTCACTGTCATTGGGGTGAGCCTCTGGTGGTTACTGAAACTCTTTACTCCTGCATGCTGTGGTCCCACTAGGCACTCAAACTTGCTGCCA